GGTTTAAACCTCACTATGAGAATGCCCCGGTACTCATGAGGCCTGTGACAGTAGACAAAGGAGCTACTGGTTCAGCCTTTCCACTTTTGCCTGCAAATCCCAAACCATTTGAATCCACAGCAGACTGTGCACCCAGAGGATCAAGGAAAGATAGAATACAGTTGCAGACCTGTAACTATTTTCTACCGCAGACCAACCTCACCCACTGTGTTTGTCTGCTCTCAGAAATGTACCTTATCTCATTGCTTCTGTATGACTGGTTCAGGAACAATACCCTACCAGGGTCCGATTAGAGAAAACCCCAGTGTCAGACCCAGTTTCAGTTCATAATCCCGAGAGTGAAATTAAGACGCAAATGAGGTCAAGTACCATAATCGGTCAGTTTGTTTATTACAAAAGGACAATTATTATAAAAAAGGGAAATTATTGTAATAAAAGGGATACCGATTGGATGGAAAATGAAGCAAGGATTCAGGGTGCAGAGAGAGATAGTCACCACCATGGATCCAGTGGTGTCCCGGTGATCCATTGTCGTTGTCGTTGGTGGTGGAAGTTCTTCAGGGTTCGTAGCCCATATTGCAGCACAGTGCCCCCCAAGAGTCCACTGGAGGTGGGTGTCCTCATGGATGCATCCTTCTGAAGTCCCCTTGAAGGTACCCTGTGGAGTGTGTCTCGTGGAGTTGCCCTCATGGCAATGTCTCATGGAGGGTGTCCCTCAGGGTCCATAGTAGTCACTGGTGGAGAGTTTCCTCACGGAGGTGTTCTTCTGGAGTCATCCTCATAGCAACGGCTCCTTGGCAATGTCTCTTGGTGATTACCTTTTCCCACTTTTATAAGGAGTTGGCAGGAGTACCTTGTCTTCATGTCATGCATTGCACGTTCCTGGTGGACCAGTTTCCCTGGTCTTGCAGCTAGCTCTTCAGCTGCCCGTGTCTGCACACACAAGTGTCTGCAGCAATTCCTGGGATAATGAGTAGCAATTCCTCACACCAGTCCTCAAGATAATGGACGGAAGAGTCTTAGCTCTTTCCCATTCAGCCCTCAGGCAATGTACAGTAGAGTCCCAGTCCAGCTCTTCACACCCTTCTCCCAGGCAATGGATATTGGAGTCTTTTCTCAACTTCTCCCACCCATCTCTGAAACAAACGACAAGTGGATTTTCATCTCAGCTTCCCATACCAATCTTTGTGACAATGGACAGTGGAGTCTGATTTCAGATCAGTCTCTCACATACCCATAAATCCGTGAAATATCTATATAGTATTATCCTTGACTAATCTTGGCCTACTCATAAATAAAATCCTTCACTGAATGGAAAGTTACTGCCAGTAATTTCTAGACAGATGTGGTTTTCCAAGATCCATTATTTTTGACGTTGTTTTGCCAGAAGTCTGGCCTGATCCTTTTTTTCTATATATGATGAATAACTTCAATAATAGTCTTTAAACAGAACTTTCGTGGCTCTGTTATTTTGATTCTTTCATGAATCTATATTGCATAACTATTACCACTGAACTAATTTAATTACAGTAGGTCAGCATTTTGGCTGAATAAATGTGTATCGAGTATTAAACCATCCCTTTCACCTTTATTCTAAAGTAACTGCATAAATAGTATATAACCACTGTTATAACTAAATGTGTGTTTCACTGTTGTAAGGATTTTAACATATTTTAAAGTCTACTGGTTCAATCGGTCTCATGGCTCAGCACTGCTGCTAAGGTAAACCTATGTTCTAACACTCAGGAGAAATTAGTTTGTGAGCCAAGAAGCAGCTTTGTCACACAACAAACGACTGCAGCACAACATGCCTGAAAAAGCTCAGCAGCTCTCAAAGTGTGCCTTTTGGGCAGAAAAAAACAGCTAAAGAGATAAACCAGACTAATACCACAAAAACTTCCATAAGGGACCTTGGAGTTTTCACTGTATGACTTCTTTTTTCCATCTCTCTTGTCTCCCCATCAATATCTTTTTATACGACTCTTGATTCTGGTTGAGGCAAGATGAAAATAATGGAAGATCAATTCATGCAGAGACCTGAAAGAAAGGCCTTCAGAACAAGGAAACCACAGAATTTTGTATTATTTGTGGAAATAACAATGGCGACTGTTTGGGGAGGACTCTAAAACTGCTAATGTGCTGAAATGTATTCCAAAACAGTGCATTTGCAGTAACTGTGCAAAACAGTGATTAGTGAAGCAAACAGCAGTAAGAGATGCCACTGGATCCCAGTGTATTTTCAAAAAAAAATTAAAACATACCTGATCTAACACTATTGCATTTTATAAACTTTGACAAACTTGTCACGCCAGCTCCAGAACCTCTGCAATTGAACAGGGAATTCTGTCAGGCCCATTTAAAATAAAGTTCTGGTTACCCATGTCCTGTACTCATACCTTTCCTTTCTCCTACTTGTTTCCTCATCAAACCCAGAAAACAATCATAAAAAATGTGTTTATGCAATGTTAGTAGTTAATACTCAGTTTATAAACATGCAAAAGATGTATTTTCAGCAGGCACATACACAGAAAGCACATGTATACAACACATCTGTACACATATATATACACACACATACATACACAGATGGCACAAAGATCAGAGAGACACAGAGGAAACTCACACAAATACTGACAACAGTACCAGGTTTCATCCTGCTCCCTTCTCTGGCTGAGCAGGGTGGAGGTCCACTGGGCTCAAACACACAACTATACACACAACCTTAGCACAGGAAAGAGTGAGAAACAAATTTAATAAGGACATGGGACAAACTACACTGATTAGGTGCAGACAAGCATAACAAACCAGCCAATTATTTTCATGCAACCTTTTTTTCCCCTTGCCCCTCTGTTCACCTAATCCCTCCGTTTTCTTGCCTTTGGTTCCTCCCCTAGTAAGTCCTGTGCAATCCAAAAAACATTCTTCCCCTGCCTCCCATCCCATGTCCCACTCCTTGGCAGCACTCAAAAGGTGATCCAGAGAACTGCTCCCAGTGACTCATGGTGATGGGTTTCATGTCTGGAGAGTCTCCCAGGGCAGCCCTGGGAAGGGCCCAAATATGGTGTTTGTTCCTAGGAGTCTGCAGTTTGGGTTCCTGCCTGCTGCTGTGTGCTGTACTCCTCTGGGCTTGTGGAGATGGGCCTGTGATGAGACTGAGTATCCAGGGCAAGGAACTATTCAGGCGCTCCTTCCCCCATTACTGTGTTTTGGTGCTCCTTTGTGGGTGTGCAAACAAGCTGCTGTTACACATAACGCAACACAGAGTACCATAAAACTACAGAAAGGCACAAGATGCAAGAAAGAGTTTGAAAATTACATTAAATTTGGACTTTTTTAATTGAAAATTCAATTGCATTATAAGTATCTTCATGCATTGCTTTCACGCTGAAGAGACAACCTAGTCTTTAAAACAATCTTCTGATGCTGCCCACAAAGCAGGCAGAAATAATGTAGTACTGTTGGTAAGGTGCACAGGCATCTTGGTCCTTCCAGGTCCTAAGGGTGGAGGTAATCTAAATACAAAAATGCACCCATAAATAAGGATGGTAACTAAAGGAAAACCAGACAACACTCAAATGTTCATCACAGAACTATCTTCTCTATTTGAACCACTGCAGTCAGAATCCTCTGAAGGTTCTCTGGAGGGGACCAGAATAGGATTGCTGCCAAAAAGCCAACAGTTTGAAGGTTTGCTCCTGCTGCTGTTTGATAATGGTAATTTTGAACTTAAACATACCCTCCTGTTGCAGTTCCTACTACAAAGGCCCCCAGATGCACACTCAATTAAAGATTAATGCATAATGATCTTATTTTTTATGTCTAACTGGTTCATGGCAAGCATACCGAGAATTTTGATTCCTGAGATTCTCAGCAGCCTGATAAAGCTTGTCACAGTTTCATATTTGTCATTATTCTGAATACTATCAAAGCAGTATGGCAAATAACAGCAAATCTGCCTGATCTAAAGAACTCATGTCCTTCAAGTTACACATGCAAACGTGTGTCTGAAAGCTTACTACAACACAAGCTTACAACTGTTGCCAAACATTAAATCTCAAAGTGAAGCCCTTGTCCTGGTTCCAGCTGGGATAGTTAATGTTCTTCCTAGTAGCTGGTGCAGTGCTGTGTTTTGACTTTTAATCTGAAAACAACGCTGATAACATCGATGTTTTCAGTTGTTGCTCAATAGCACTTACCCTGATCAAGGACTTTTCAGTCTCATGCTTTACTAGTGAGGGGCACAAGAAGCCGACAGGACACCTGACCCACACAGTCCAAAGGGGTATTCCATACCACAGCACGTATACAAACTGGGGGCAGTTACCCAGAAGGGCTAGATCACTGCTTCAGTCAGGCTATCAGTCAGCAGGTGGTGAGTGATTGTATGGTGCATCACTTGTAGGTTCGGTGCTTTTTGTTTTATTGCTGTCATTTCCCTTCTCAGTATTAGTGTTAATAATATATTGTACTTTATTTCAATAATTAAACTGTTCTTCCCAACCCCCAGGTTTTATCTTTTCTTCCTATTCTCCACCCCATCCCACTGGCACCAGAGAGGAGCAAGCAAGCGGCTGCGTGGTACTTAGGTGAGGCTGGGGTTAAACCACGGCGGCCCTTCCTATCACACATGCACAACACACCTATATTTAGGCTCTTAAGTTTCCTCAGGACACAGCAACCACAAGAGGAAAACTCTCAAATCACCAGTGGCCAGCCAGAGCACGGGCTGGATGTTCCGGAACATTCCCATCAAAGAACAGGGTGCCCCGAGCCGCTCACACCGCTTATTCAGTTCACAGTTAAGGGGGTTACCCTGCAGCAGGCCTCTGGCAGCCCGACAAACCCTTACCTAGCAGAGAGCCCCCCACACCCGACTTCCCACCGCCCTCCCAGCTTTGAGCGGCGCGACCCCGCCCACCACCGGAAGTGGCGTCAGCGGCGCGGAGAGTAGGTGGCAGCCCTGAGTGGTTGTTATGCGGCAAGGGGCAGGTCGTTGCCGTTGGTGCGCGGGTTGAAAATGGCGTTAGCCGTTGGTGAGAGCTCAGGCTTGTCGGCTGAGGTGAAGGCGGTGGCCGCGGGGTGGATGCTGGAGTTCTCCTGCAGCTGCCTGTGCCGGCACTTCGGGGACGGGTGCCCCGCAGAGTTCCAGCGGTGGAGCGACGTAGCGCAAGGTGAGGGGCGCAGCTGTTGCGGTTCTGAGGGAGTGGGCGCCCGCGGCTCTGGAAGCGCTGTGTCCCTGTGGAGTGTGAGGAGTAGCTGTTTTTATCACAGTAAAGAGTATCCTAAAGTACTAGTAGTGTTTCTGCACTTAGTATTTCGTGTAAGCTCGTTTTATACATGCGAATAGCCTTCTAATGACGGTGGTCGCTAGGAGGTTTTCAGCTCTTTTGAGGGTTTAGGAAGATTCTTACAGGGTTCTCTTGAGGCTATCTGCTGGCATCAGCAACGTTTGCACATGGTGATAATAAAACAGTGGAGACTGATTTTTTTGTTCACTTATTTAATCCACTGGTGTTTTAGTGTGTGGTATGGCCGCTGTGCTGGAGTGGTGTAAAACGCAGGTTTGGGGAATTTTAATGTTTTGGTTGAATGGGTCCAGGGAGGGAAACAAGCTGAACTATCCCAGTGACCCCTGGTTACTGAGCGGCTGGGTTGAAGACTTTTAGATGATGAGATGCAAATGTGCTAAAAAAACAGGGGAGAATTGCTTAAATACACAGAGTTCCCTGAGTTTGTATTCAGGCTTATGGTAGAAAACTAGAAAAAGGTATTTCAATTAACTCTTGTCAAGTAGATAAAGGTGGAATAAAGTCTAGTGACTGGATTTTGAATGAGTAAACATGCATTTCAAATTATAAATACTTCAGAGTAGTTAACAGCTGGAAGCAAATATCCATGTCTTTTGGCATTTTGTTAGAAATTTTCTTTCCTGAAGATACCAGGCTAGAGCTTTTGGGGCTTTTGGTTTGTTTTGGTTTTGCTTTTTCTGTGTCTTGCATGTGTTCTTGATTCAGGTTAATGAAAATATGTGGCTTATTTAAACTTTCACAAAGAATGGAATACAATGGCATGTGAGAGGTAAGAAATCTAAAGATAATATAACAAAGTACATTGAATGGGGTGCTGCTTGATTAAATGATTAATGGGGCTTTTCCATTTGGCTTTGGGACTGTGGCTCAGTGGGAAAGTTGTACTGAAATTTCTCCAAGATGTAGGTGGGAAGCAGTCACTGTAAACAGAAGCAGATTGGAATATTTCCTGAGAAGAATAGGAGGACTTTTTAGGACTGTATTAGTGGAAATTACTAAACTGAGCAAAATATAATGTCTTGTAGAGCTGGAAACTAATAACGACTTTGGAATTTGTTCCTGCTTTGTTTAGCAACAGAGGAAAGTTGGGCATACTCGTGCTATAGGATTACAAAGTCAGGAGTGTAAAAGTCTATGGAGAAAACTAAGCACAGGCATAAGATTGTATTATAAAAGTCAGTGTAGTTTTTTTCATAGAAATACAGAGGTACAACTATTGCTTATGTTGCAGGGAGACCCTGCTGAAATAATGTTTGGCTGTCAACAAGGTCAGTTCAAACCGGAGCAAGTGCAGAGAAACAAGATGGCTAAGGGAACAGAATGAGCTATTTAGTTAGGTAATAAATAGTATTGCCATAAAGCTCAGTACACTGCCAAGTAGAAATAGCTACTTACCTGAAATTAAGGATTTAAAGACAGCATGGCAAGGTCATATGCTCTGCCTATGTTATCCTGCCGTGACAGGGTATTGTGGTCAATATATCTGAACGAGCTTGTGTAGGTACCTACATGGTAAGGAACTGGATTTGTAGAGTATCTAGCGAAAGACTTAAGATGAGAAATAAATTTGAGTGGCCGGAGGGAGGAAAGCTTGTCATATAATTAAGGGCACTACTAACTAAACAACAGAGAAACTGCCTTGGGTGAGAAGTAGAAGAGTCTAGAGAAGTACTAAGGCTATGTCTCTTTCTGTTTGCATTACTTGTGGGTAATTGCTGCTAAGGACCTGCTGTCCACACAGTAAACTCTTCAAGGTTTCTGTTTCCCTTTGGAATAGCTCTAAAGGAATTCAATGTGTATACTAAAGATGTCTCCACTGTACAAACTGAACAGAAAGTTTGCATTTTAAATGCAAAATTTAAATTTAAAAATGAACCCCTGCTCTGAACTAAAGCAGTAATGTAGGTGCACCTTAAAAGAACAGAGAAAACTGAAAGATCTCAAGCTACTTGACAGCTTTTGGCTTGTGGAATTCTTCAGCTGCAGTATTCTGCCAGCTTCCAAAATCTCCAAGCTCTGACTCCATGTTCAGGCATTATGAGAGTGCTTGTCTCCGTCATTCAACTCATCCAAACTCTTTGAAATTGAACTCTCTTGTCAGCTGTGGAAGATGCATGAATTTGTGATTATAATGACTGGCACTTCTGTTCTAAGCAATGTGCTTTTATTTCCTATTTTGGCTATGGGAATTGAAAGCTCTGTCGTTATTGAAGCAGTTGTAAATGTGTTCTTCCAAACCCAAATCACATTATCCTGGTAATCATTTGGGGCTATTTTAATTGCTTTGTAATTTCATGCTTATCCATTGTCCGTAGGTGACTGTATGCTAATAAGCAAGCAGGCTAAGTACTGCTTCCAAGTAAAACAGTGTTATGTGCCCTCGTCATTGCAAAACTTGGGGGTCCCATGGCCTGGAATCCTGACTTTTGCTAGGTTGACACAGAAATGTGTACATAAAAGCTTCCTGAAATAGGGTGTTCAGTCTGCAACTTGGATAAGTCACTTAATACATTCTTTGCTTTTCATTTTGAGTGTTTCTGTATTATGCTGTCAAGATAAATTACTATATTCAACACAAAAAATAGAAGTTCACAGTAAACCAGCATGATGGAAATAATCTCATGATGGCTCTTATTCTAAAATATGTAAAAATACTTGTGAGCTTCCAACCTTGCAAGGAGGATTTCCCTTGTAGATTTACATTTCTGACTAATCTCTTCTTGTAGATTTTGCTGCTTTTGGTCTGGCAGTTGCTATGGCAACATGTAAATGTTGTCCATCTGCATATGGCTCATGTTTTGTGAGCATTCCATATGAATGTTCCTTGGAGCAGGCAGTTGTCTTTCATAGTAAGTTACCCAGAAAAATAAAACTTCGCTTACTTATGTAAGATATGGTGGTCTTCTAACTTGATGATATATGCTTGTGATGCATCTTACCACTTCTAGGCTACTGTTGGGAACTGCAAGAGGGGAAGGTTTTTCAGGTCAAATACTTTATTATGATTTAAGTTCTTCTAACATTGACCGATAATAACTAAATGCTTTCATCTGTTTCCTAATGAATTAGAAACTCAGTAGATTATTAAAGCCTGATACCGTAGTGACTAGTATATTTCTAGCCACACTGTGGCAGTGCTGGAGCAAGACTGACTTAACTTTTCTTTTCTAGCTCTTATTAATGGCCTCTCAAAAATACCTACACATCAGGAAAAAAACGTGTATCTCTGTCAGCTTTTGATAAGGATTGCAAAAGGAAAAAAACTTGGTAAATACTTTTTTTTTCCTTCAAATGTTTAAATAGATTTGCATGAACTTACACATAATTATGTATGCTAATACCTTTATCTACAGTAAAGGCTATGTTTCACATAGTCTTACTGTACATATGTTTATGTATATCTAGTAAAATGTCTGAACTCTACCTTTTGGATTGTCTTTATTCCACATATATGCAGGACCAGTGTTATTCTGTGCTGAGTGATTTAGCTGCTTTGAGTTTGAATGACTGTATGCTGCTTAAATTATAGGGATGGGGTTTTTGGTCAGGTTAGCATCAACAAAATAATATTTTGGAAAATATTGACTATTGGTGAATGATATTTGCAAGTTTAAAGCACAGAATGTGCATTCCTTTCTGCACATGTAACTCTAGAGGTTAAAATAGGAATATGGATGGAGAAGGATGGCTTTCCTTGTCTCTTACAGAAGGCTGTAAGGCTTATAGCTGGCCGCAGGTCCTTGGGACTCTTACTCACTGTCATGTCTTCTGTTTAGCTGTATTCACAACTTGCTAGTTTAGGCAAACTGACTTTGCTTCTGTGCTCAAGTTTCTGCAAGACTTAACTTTTTTGCTGATAGTTTTTACTGCTTGATAAAGCTCATTGGAATTTAAGGTCTATAAAACCAGTCTTGCCAGCATGAGCATGGAAGGAAAGAAGTGTGACAGAAAGGATTGTTTTTATAAAATGAAATTTCTGATGTTACTTGTCAAGTAATAATACGTTTCTTGATTTAGTTCAACTTGAAGTATTTTAAATATGCAAATCTGGTTCTTATTGTATACAAATCATGCAACTTTGCTGATAATGCTTTAAAACTATTGTTGTATATAACACTTGTCAATATAAATTCAGTATCTGTTTTTTATCTAGCGGTGTCGAGAATGACCTATATGGTAAGGAAGATTGCATGTGCTTAAGTGGGTATTACATCAGATGTAGTTGCACAATATACATGGAAAGCTAATACATTGTGTGGTAGCTCTCCTCATTTGTTTCCAGTTATTAAAATAATTGATCTCTATTGAGCCTTAAAATAGAGTAGGCTGTTTCAGATGCCAGCTCTTTAAGTTAAACACTTTGGTTTTCCAATATTAGAATAACCTTAATATGAAGTGTCATTACTTTATTGAAACAGTAAATAGAGAAACCAGAAGTGTGCTTTGTTACTCCTTTTTTGGGGGTTTTGTTGTTCTGTTGGGTTTTGTTTTGTTTTTAATATGTATATCTATACGTATGATACTATTTACATTTTCAGTGTTTGTCTTCTGCTGTAGTGGGTGTCAAATATTTTTTATATTTTTAGCATTGCATAAATTGTTTACCTTCTCTCTGAAAACTATAAGAAGTAAGATGCTGTGAGAGATTCTGCTATGTCATCTAAAATTAAGGAATAAGTAAGGCTGTGGTTCAATGAACATCTTAAGCGAAGCTGGCAATGTCATGGGGAGAAAAAAAAAGCAGACTTGTGCATCTGCCATCTCCTACTGCATCTGTTATGTTGGCATGCTCACTTGTGCAAGTGAGCAGTGACCAGACTGGGAAACTGTTCCTAGAGTGTTGAGGGTTATTTGGCTGGGCTAGATTTCTGCCAAAACTGGTTACTGATCCTGCTTGCTGGGAGTTTTCACAAACCTTGGTGTTGGCACAGCAGCACTGTGACACAGGAAACACAGTGTTGTTTCTGCTTTTTCTGTGTGAAGCTGTTTGAATTTCCCTCTCAGTTTAACCCCTTCTAATATAATGAAAAGTAAAAACACAGAAATATATAGACTTGGGGGAGAGAGAGGGACCACAGAAAACAAACAAACCTTAAGGTAGTGGTTATATTACAAAATTACAGTTATCAATACCGAGTGTTTTGATATTTGATGCCAAACTTAACGCAAGAATATTGCTAATGCCAGCCCAAATACAAGATGTTAAACTTAGTACTGTTGCAAGTTTAAGTGAGCAGTAAAACATGTAACCTCCCATTAAAATGCAACAGTAATGTTATTAGCGAGGGCAGGAAGACCCAGTCTCTGTGAAAAGAAGGCATTTAACTTCGGTCTCTTAAACACACTTGAAGAGAGAGACTAAAAATTTGAGGAGAAAAGAATTGAAGTAATGTATAGTGCATATTACTTCATTGTGTATAAAAAATATATTTAACTTTACCCTTCAAATTTTTAAAATACTTTTTTCTACTTCCTCTCTTCCCCTCCCAAAGAATGCTATTTTGAAAATCAAAAAAGAATTTCACCTTTGGAATCTGCTCTGTCTTTCTGGACTTTACTTGAAAGAGAAGAAGTTGAACTGGAAAAGCTTCATAAAGATATTCGTCAGTTGATTCAAATTCAGGTTTGTATGACTTAAAATGCTTTAGGGTGGTATCTATTAATTCTCCTAAAACAGGACTCATTTTACAAAAAGTTTGGGCTATGAGCAGGCTGAACTAAATTTTCTAGGTTTGATGTACTGTCAATACAGAGTAAATAGATCTGTACAGCGAACCTTTTCCTGTCTAAATTGGTTCCTGTTTGTCCCACTTCAAAATTGTTTCGAAAGCTGCCAATCTTAAAAAAAATCAATTTAAAACCATTTGTATCTTGAGCTTTTAAATATATTATTAGTAGCTTTTTAGTTTTTTCTTTGCTTACAAATAATTATTTGTGTTGGAAAACCTTTGCTATCGAACATGTGAAAACATGTTGACAGGTACTGGGACTGAAAATCTGGGAAAGATGAAAGCAATACTTGGTAGGTAAGTATGGGACATTTTAAATCAGTGAAGGTCCTTTTAAAAGCCTGGCAAAAAGGCTTTGGGCCTTTATAAGTGAGGTTTAATGCTACTTTAGGACTGTTAAAACTAGATAATTGTTGGTAACCCTTAAATAGATAATCCTCTGGATTTTGAAAGCCTTACTATTTAAGTGTGAATTTTCTTTCTTTTTTTTTTTTTTTTAATCTCTGTTGACATGTATTTCAGCATGTCTTGTAACTATATTTGTTGTAGATTGTAGCAGTCTATATGGAAAATGGATATTTCAGAGAGGCTGCTGAAGCTCTTGAAAGGCTGTTTACAGGCTCAGAATCAGATAAGGTAATAACTTGCATTAAGCTCTTTCACTTTAAGATGAAAAGAGAATGAGTTTCCAAAGCTAGCAAATGATACATGCAGAGCTTTGTTGTGATTGGTGCTTATGCAGTCACCTACACACCTGTGGCACTTATAGATACAAAAAGAAATTTGTAGGTAGGGGACTGATAGAAATAATGGGTGGTGTGGGGGAGTAAAATGTTTCTAGCTAGCAGCAGTTGTTCTTCACTGTGGACAGCATCAGTCCGAACTTCATCTCCCATTTCATGTAAGGTGTCACTACAGATTCTGTGAGTCTGATATTGCTGTTTTCTCAGAGTAAAGACAGTATAAACATGCTGATAGAGACATAGAAATTCCCAAGTAATCAGTCTGACTTTTTCTGAACCATTACAGTGCACTCTGTCTCTTCTGATTACTGTTCTACATACTGATGCACCACAGAGAAGATAAAGCTTATTAGCATCTGTAGTATAGAGTGATTATTATTGCTTTATCTGGAAAAGATAATGTGTAGGTGAGGCCACCTCCTGGTTTGATGTTGACTACATAATTCAGAAAGATGCAAGTTCGAGTATGTATCTCTAAAAGAATATCTAGTGCACACACCTGAATTTGCTGGGGTGAAGAAAAGAGCAAAGGACTATAGGCAAAAAGAATAAAAGTTAAAAATGCTGCCTCTATCTTCTGCTGGTATACTGGGATACGTGTTCTATATAAATAGCTCCATATGTGTAACAAAATCTTCAGATAAACTCTTCATTCGGATATATTTGGAAAGTAAAGTCTGGTAAAGTACTCATTCATAAATAGGAATGCAACCTGTATACAGAAGTTGATTGTTGGATGTATTGGTCTCTTTTAAGATTTAGAGTGGTTGGTAGACAAGATGTAAAGTTATGATTATCAGTATCAGGGTGTCCTTAATGCTATGGTACTAAATAGTCCATTTCCTGACCTTTATGAACCCCTTTCAGTGGCAGTCTTTTTGAGGCAGTAAATGAGAAAAGAGAACCCAATGATGAGTGGCCTTTTGTTGGTGGTACTGCTCCTTTGACAATCTTGCTTTTGGTGTTACACCTAAAGGGCATGAAAATAAGGATCTCTGGAAAGTTGTATTTAACCACTTACTGAGTAAACTGGTATTGTGCCTGACTTCAGAACCCTTTCAAAATGTAGCATGAAGTTGGGTAGGCATATTCAGAAAACTGTGTAATCATCATGTTTAGCTTTCTGTATGTCCTGTTTAGCATAGATGCGGAGTTTACTATAGGATACATTTGTGTTGTATAAAGCTGTGTTTTTCTTAGCCTTTAAGGATGAAGCTGGCAACTGTAATTAAAAGCAAGGATCCGCATGTTCCTCTTCTCCAAACCTTCAGTTACAATGTTTTGATAAGTAAAATCAAGTCTTACATTGAACTTTTCATGAAAGAAAATGAAACTAACTTCTTATTACAGGTATGTCAAATGCTTTTTCAAATCTTATTTCAGAAGAGGTGTCTGATAAGATTAAATAGATTTATACTTTCATATAGGTTGTTTGGACAATATTCAGTTACTGTATTAGAAGAAAAGGAAGTTTGTATTGTCTCAATTAAAAACAAAAAAGTTGAATATATGTTTAGGAGAAAGTAGGAGTAAGACTTCTCTAAACTATCTCTCATGAATGGTTTTTCCACAACTTTTGATTAGAAAAAATAGTTAAGAAAAAATAAGTAAAATGAGGTCCATCATTGCTGTGTGCTTAAGAGAAGCAGTTTTGATCTCGGACTACTTAACAGATAATAAACTATATATTTGATCTTTATGTGAATTTTCATGCGAAAACTTAAAGTTCAAGACCTGCTAATTTGACTGAAAGCTTTAGGAATGTCAGAGGAGTTAGTAGATGGAAGATTGTTATTCCTGCTTTCCTGTAAATAAAAAAGCTTACAGTCTTGCTCAAAAGTGGTTTAAGATTGGCAAGAACAACATTTCTCCTTCAGCTCCTCTTCAGGAGGATTGTAAAGAATTTCTCTTATGTTTACCTCCTATAAAAGAATATTGAATTACTCAATTACAAACATGCAGACATCTAAAGGTAGTAAGAAGCACATTTTAAATAAACAAACTTGAAGTTCCTCTAGGGTTTTCATTTTCTTACCAGAAAGAGAGATTAGAGAACTTATACTTTCAATGTATTTAATAAGGGATGCCTTTTAATAGTTTCAGCTGTCAAGTTTCCAAATTTATTTTCCAAGGCTGTTTCTTTGAGTCTGAGAGGAGGTGGAGATTTGGAGGTATCAGGGAAGGCCTGAAACTCCATATTGGCTTACCTAGGCACTCTGTTTTGCACCCCCATTGCCTGCACATTTGTCATGCTGTTCGCTAATGTTGCATATCTTACTTCTGAAACCTTTATATTGGACTGAGTTACGTTGTGGAGCATTCACACTTTTGCTCAGAGATTGCACAGAGCCCCTTGAGCCTGGCTGTGAATGTTTCTTGGGAAGGGGCAGATACCACCTCTCTGGGCAGCATGTTCCAGTGTTTCATCACCCTCATTGCGGGGGGGGGGGAATAAATCTTCCTTCTATCTAAATCTACTTTTTTTTTTTTTTCCAGTTTGAACCCATTACCCCTTGTCCTGTGGCAGCAGACCCAGCTAAAAATTTTGTCCTCATCTATTGCAATAAGGCCTCCACAGAACCTTCTGAACAACTCCAGCTCTCTCTGCCTGTCTCATTAGGAGAGGTGTTTCAGCTCCCTGAGCATCTTTATGATGCTCAAGTAGGTCCATGTTCTCCGTATATTGTGGGCCCTCAGAGCTGTACTCCAAGTGGGATCTTACCAAAGCAGAGTAGGGGCGAGAATCACTTCCCTCAACGTGCTGGTTAGGCTTTTTTTAATGCAGCTCAGGATATGGTTGCCTTCTAGGCTGGAGGTACACGTTGCAGGGTTATGTTCAGTTTTTCGTACCCCTGAGGGATCTGTATTGCCTACTACTGTTTAGTAGACTGCTTTTTCTAGGTTGTTGTCAAGGTTGGAATCTACAAGTTTGCAGCTCCTACTGTTGGTGAAGCTATTGCACTTCAGAAAGCTCTTGTAGGTTAGCTGCCCCAAGAACAGTCTTGCACGTAATGCCTTACAAGGAAGAAGGACATATACTAAGCACAGTTATTTTACAAGTACAATTTGATGCCTACTCTTAACTCTTAAAACGCAATATAGTGGATTTTTATTGCTACCATCAGCCACTGTAAAAGAGCCAGTGTTTTGAAAACTTACAGCTGAAAGTTGTGGCAGTTTGGATATTTTTGAAATTCCTGACAGTGAAACATTTTTTCTGTGAGTTAAAGTATTCTATAACCAGAATACCTTCCAGTACTTATATGGATGAATGAGTGAAATAGGGAATGGTTTTGTATTATCTGACTTTTATAAATGTTGAGAGACTCTGCAAGCTACTGTGAAGGACACGTTAAGATTTCAAGAAGACTGAAAATTGGATGGATGACAGAAAAGTAACAGGAGGCAAAAGCAAGCTCTGAAAGAAGAAATAGGTGAAAACAGGAGCAACTGGCTAAGCAGAAAAAGATGTAATATTTGGCCTGTCAACTTAGTAACATTTTGATCTGTTTTGCAACACCCAAATATCATAGACAGTATAGACAGTGTTGGATAGAAGGTGGTTGGCTGTGCTTAGTATTGGTGGTGCACAACCAGGATTTATTTTATGGCTTTGGTAGTAAATGTACCTTAAGATGCTAGGGAAGAAAGTTGATAGCAAAGTGGCAAAAGCAACATCATGTGGACTAATTTTAGGGGGTGGGGAAGGGATGGGTCATTTATTATAGCAAGTAACTTGGGGGGAATCTGGGGAAATGCAGGAATCTTACAATTCTCAGGGCATTCTATAAACAGTAATGAGCTTCTCCTCTTGGGAATTGAGAAGAAATAATCTGTGGCTAGAAGTTTAGGCAGGATGTAACAAAATTATTTTGTTAACACAGGAAAGGTTATGCTTGATTGTGCCACGTGCTACAGAACTAGATGAACTTGCAAGGCCTGTCAGTTTTCAGTTTCTAATCTAGTTATATTAAACTTGGGAGTACATCGATAGTGTTTGCAGTCTTAGTAAATCTCTGCGATGTGTTTCACACATCTACATGCTCACTTGTTAAGCAAATATTCATTGTATTTCTGTGTGTCTGTATAAATATCACGTGGGGCTATGACTAAAATTTCTCTTGAGATGTTAACTGGTAACAATCTTGTGTTCAAGGCCAGATTGGATGGGGCTTGGGCAGTCTGGCCTACTGGAAGTTGTCCCTGCTTGTGGCATGGGGATTGGAACTAGATGATCTTTAAGGTCCCTTCCAACCCAAACCATTTTATGATTAACACATTGCAGTTGTTTTGAAACTGCTTATTCTAGGAGATATGTGTCTGAAGGGTCTATGAGATACATACTGTTAGTCCTAATAGGAAGCACACTTACTAATTTTAGTGTAAACTACTGTGTAGGTGCTGGCTGGCTTTGATTTTAAACTTCTTGATTCCATCTCTCACAGGCAGCCATGAAAGAGGTAGAGTCTCAAGGACCGGGAGCAATAGCATTGCAAAGCAAAACTGTGAATGCTGATAAAAATGACAAAAAGAATTTGGAAACAAGACAAGGGTTTGTATTAAAGCACTATCCTGTTGAAGGACATGCTTGGACAGTAACTTGAAACTCGTAGAACTAAGAGTGGGTAGAAGGAAGGACATTTAATTCCAAACTGCTATCTAATAGAAAACTGTGAGCACATTCTCTGTTTTTAAGTTTTGACTTTTCTATGATTAATGTCTGGCGTTTACCTCAAGTAGCTTGACATTAAGTTGAAGTACTTGTTGGAGATAGATATTTTTCAGTTTAAGCAGTGTCAGTCTCTTATAATAGTAAAAGCATAGGAATGGTTTACTTTTTTTTTTCCTTTAATTGAGCTTCTTTTAGTCCTGTCCTTCAAACTTTGGGCTATAGCTCATCTGCAGAAGAAACAGAATAATGAAAGGGAATTAGTCTGTTACTTTCTCCTTACAGCTAAACCCAAGTTTCCCTTAATGAGATTATTGTGATGATGGGAGTTGGTTATATTGTTTCATGATTCTGGCAACATGAACCCTCAAAATGATTACATACTTTCCCAAGAAATGTTGGGGCACTTGAAGCCCAGCTCCTTCCCCCTCCTTTGACTTCATTTTGAAAAAATACTCATATTCTGGGTTTATCAATGCTACTTTTTTCATGGAGAATAAATTGTAGTCCTTAGTTGGGATAGAGCTTGTATTTTTGCTGTTTTATACTTGGAATACTTGCCCTTGCTTAGTTAAGGAAAATGACTGATGCAGACAGTATGCAGGAAGACAAATCGTAAGGCTTTTTTTTTTTAAAGAAGAACAGTTCCTGACACAATTACATCTGAGTGGTCTGATGAAAGACTTGATTAAAAAAAAAAACCCACAAGAAACAAACAAACAGTCCAACCAATTACTAGATTGTGAAGAAGGTATGAAAAAATACATGTGCAGAATGCCTCAAATCTTCAACTTTAATGTGTAATGTCTTGTATATTTCTTCTCCGGATATAGTGAGGCAAGGTTAAGAAGCAGTTAGTATTTGTATGCCACTGTTTCTGTGCAGAAATATTGGGATTTTCTTTCATTTAAATATTTTAAAATCATGTAAATGACAAGCTGCTGCCTAGGAAATTATTTTTGGGCTTTTTTAAGGTTAACAAAAGAGCAACACAGTACTACAGATCAGTCCCCCAGAGATGTCAGAAACCCAGCAGTAAGGTAAAATTTTGTTGTTGTTGCTTTTGGTCAAAGACATTTTGTGTTCTGAACATTTTTACTTCAGTTCTGTGTTCCTTGCAGGCCTTGTTCAGGAGGGAAACTTGGAGAGAGAACTGTTCTTCAGAGTGAGTATTATCTTATTTCTTACACTTTCAAAACAGTCATGACAAACATTTTCTCCCCCCCCCAAATGGGTTGGTGGTTTGGTAACTGCTAACGAGTGTGATTAGGTAATATAAAAATTACTGTGGTGGGAAAAAAACATTCTCAATTCTTGTGTGAGGTTTCTGCAAATGTGGATTTTGTGGTTGTTACATTTAGAAGCTGTGAGGTGGCTTAAGGCTCTCTGGCAATTTGGTTTTGCAAAATCGGTCACTATTTTCTGGTTTGCTTGGAGCTTTGTTTGCTTTACTGGCATTTATGCCGTTCTGTGCAAAAGGGAGCTGCCAGAGGAAGTACTGAAACTTGTCTCTCTTTCATTTCCGGCCTAGGTAATTTGGACAGGGGTAGGGAACTAAAGAAGTTAACACATTGGAAAATCAAAAACCAAATTGAAAACCAAATCAAAACAAAGTTATGATGTTCATGCAGCTTCTTGGTATAACTTTCTAAAATGTTACAGCATGGATTATGTATGCACTGTTTATAAGTAGGTTCTGAAAAACATTAGGATCCTCTTACCATAAAGAGATGACATTGTAGCTTCTGCATGTGGCTGTGTTGTACTGGGAAGGGCAAACTGGTGCCTTGGATGCTTGCCGCAGTAAGAACCTGACACTTGTTCTGCGGAAATGATGGGACCTGAATACAAAGTATCGTAGTTCTTCTGGTTAGTTTCCATTCTCTCTATGTAAAATGAGACCAGGATGTATAGTAAAAATACTTTTACCAAAGTAACAGTGTTTCATTATTATGTGTCACTTTTTATCTAATTGTTTAAAATACAATTCTGCTGTGAGCTTTTCTGCACAGAAAGTATAGTGACTTTTTTGAGCAGCCTATTTTTTTTTTGAGTCCTTGAGCTAAGGTAAAGTTCATGTGTATACATATATAAAAGTATATTCATGTATAAACAGATTGAAATTTTCCCAGTCTGTCAAAGCATATCATGTATGCACATACGTTGTAAATTCTTGTCTCTTTAAATGGTAGAATGAAAAACTGCTGCCCTGATGTTGACTCCTCATTGGTCTGGGTGTATATTAACTGTGTTCTAGGTTTGAATGGCTTGAAAAATGTGGAAAAACATGAACATGCTTTGGGTTCTCTCCGAAAAAGACAGGTTTGTATCCATTCTTTAAATAGATAAAAAATTAATCTATGATGCATAAAATTTTTATCCCCCCCCCTTATTTGACTGTCTTCAAAATGCCTGTGTTTAAGATTATCCATGTTATTCAAGCTGCGCTGCAGATCCTGAAACTGTTTAAGTTCCAATTCCTGTCTTTAAAAAAGTAGAGGCCTGTTCTTGAGCAGTCTCAAATATTATTGCTAATGCTTATGAGCCTTTAATTTGTTGAAATAGAGTTACTAAAGCTTAGTCTGAGTCTTTTAAAACATGTAAAAAAACCAAAAAATCTTTCCACTGTTTGGATTAAAGAGTTTAGGATGTCATTCACCCCTGAGAGTTTTGGGCAAATACCAAGGGCTTTTTGTTTTCCCACCTAGAAGGTTAAAGATTTGGCAATTTTATAATTCAATACTTTTTTCATATGAAGTGAAAACATGTATTTTCTTGGGAAGCTAATGACAAAATTCCCTATTGGTGGGAAGTACAGAAGTCTATGCCTTAATAGAAGGCAATTTGAAGTTGATTTGATGTTGGGGTGCACTGTTACAAACTGATTTTTGCATATACCAGACTTTATTCACTTCTCATGATAAAATTATAAGCACTTTGAAATGAAATTAATATTAAATGTATTCCCGTTCCTGAATTCCTCTTGATAATATCTCTTAATATCTCTTAGGAAGCAATATGGAGTCTTTCTGTTTAGATAACAGTGCAAGTTATCAACATACCTCCATCTGTTTCATTTTTCTCTTGTGTATTTTGACATTTAGTTTTTCACAGAACAGGGAAGGACAACTATTCTAACATTTTTCAGACTGTCCTTGAGGAGGGTTGTACTTATTCCTATTTCTTTGATCTTTTTTTACTGAAGTACTTGTTAAATCTTCAGTTATACGCTGTCCTCAAATTGCTGGAAGTCCTAACAAGAACTTACCTGTCCTTGGAGATGAAGCTACCTGCTATATAAAAACAGTTTTTCACTTTCTTATTGCCCTGGGTTCAGCTGTAATAGTCATTCTTCTGCTTCCTAGTAGCTGGTGCAGTGCTGTGGTTTTCGGCTTCAGTCTGAGAACAATGCTGGTAACACACTGATGGTTTTAGTTGTTGCTCAGTAGTGATTACCCTGATCAAGGACTTTTCAGTCTCATGCTCTGCCAGTGAGGAGTGGCACAAGATGCTGGGAACAAGCAGAGACAGGACACCTGACCCGAAGCAGCCGAAGGGATACTCTATCCCACAACAGGTCATGTCCAGTATATAAACTGGGCAGTCATCCAGAAGGGCAGACTGCTGCTTGGGTCAGGCTGGGTATTGGTCAGCAGGTGATGAGCAATTGTATTGTGCATCGCTTGTGTTTATTGTTTTTTCCTTTCCCCTTTTAGTTTTATATTCTCTCAGCCTTTTCTTAGAGGAGAAATGCTGCAGTCCCCTAATCATCTTTGTAGCTTTCTGCTAGACCCTCTCCAGTAGTTTCTTGTCTGTCTTGAACTGGAGAGCTCAGAACTAGACACATTACTCCAGATGCAGCCTCACCAGGGCTGAGTAGAGAGGGAGAATAGCATCGCTGCTGGCAGTGCTCTTCTTGATGCAGCTCAGGATTGGCCTTCTTGGCCACAAGGGCACATTGCTGGCTCATGTACAACATGTTGTCCACCAGAACCCCCAAGTCCTTCTCTGCAGAGCTGCTTTCCAGCAGGTCAGCCCCCCAGGCTGTACTGGTACATAGGATTATTCCTCCCCAGGTGCTAGACCCTGCACTTGCCTGTCTAGATCCTTCTAAATGGCAGCACAGCACTCTGGGGTATCAGCCACTCATCCCAGTTTTGTTACTATCAGCAAACCAGCTGAGGAGGCACAGTACCCCTCCATCAAAGTCATTCTTGAGTAAGCTGAACAATACTGGACCCAGTATTGATCCTTGGGAGACACTTCTAGTTACAGGTCTCCAGTTAGACTCTGCCACTGACCCCAACACTGAGACCTGCCATTCAGCCAGTCCTCAATCCACACATCTCACTAGAAAACAAAAAAGAGGTGTTGTGTGTTTAATTCTGTTATATTTCAGTTAAAGCTGAACTATAAACACTAAATTTATAGAAAGCTGCCATCTGATAGTAGCAAAGAACTCATTAAAATTTTATAAGAACTTGAAAGAAATTGATTCAGAACTGTTTCTTTAAACACTTGGAAAAGTAGGCATTTGCTGTCTGTGTGGTATTTCAGCCACACTCCCTGACAGTGGGACCTCATAAATATTGTATAGAAAACAATGACAATTGGTCTTTTAGACAATAAATCTGCTCCTCCTCTTAATAATCTGGTTTACCTAAGTGTCTGCATGCATGAAAGAGTGCTGTGAGTGGCAGAGCTGTTGACTTCTAGAACTTTCTTTTCTATGTAGTCCCTCTTTCAATGTTGGCATCGTTTTCTCTTGTTTTGTAAATGACATTTCATTGCAATGGTTCAGTGCCCTTTTTCACCCTTTCATTGCTGTGTTTTCAGTTAGCTGCATACAATAATCTGCAGTGTTATTGAAAGGAATGGTACTTTATTTTCTTGTTCTTAAATTAGGGGATGCAGGTGTCAGGATTTGGGGAACTGTTTGTACTCAACTTTATATGCTGTATGTGTATGGTGAGTCCTGTGAGTTGTCTGAAATCTGACTGACAGTTTGCTTAAAGAGTGTGTCTGAAAATTTGGGTTTTCAGAATTTAGTCAAACTTGTATGGAAAAAAAATCCATGTATTTAAATTTGGAGAAAAAAAGAAATCGGAGCAGTCCCAGAATTCACAATCAAAGGAAGACAGGTTACTATAGGGTAGAACTGACTAAGGAATAACAAGATTTTCAGATATGTTGAGGTATGCCTACAAGGTCTGTCTGGCAAACTCAAGCTCTGCCAGCATTCTGAACTAGCCAGATGTCATTGTTCTGGACTAGGCACTGTGGTTATGTTAGCTCACGTATAGTGCTGTATTATATCCAATCTCCCACCCAGTCTTGGTAGCTTTTAACAGTGGAATGCAGGAGTCTACATAACAGCCACCCCAGAGAGCACAGGCAGTGGCAGGGCTGGGGGGAACAAGTTACTGCTCAATGCAGTTCCTCAGTGGAAAGAAAATGAATTACTTGCTGGTTTACCTGTTAGTCAAGCTCTTCATTTATATGTTAAAGCAGAAGAAATTTGTTTTTAAAAATGCTCAATATGAACAATTTAAAAGCAAAACAAGCAAAATCCAACCCTTTTAAAAGCAAATGTAACAAGTAACAAAGGTTGTGATTGTCTCTGTTGCTGCAAGTGTTTGAATATTCTGCTGCTGTATGTCAGGTATAACTGTTACTTGAATAAAGATTTTTGCTCAGGAAAGTTTTCTGGCATGCTCTGAAATGAGATGAACTAGATGGTTCCAGTGGAATCTCTGGCCTTTTAATAAGAGTAAAAACCCCACCATTCACAGCTAATGTTGCAGAATATCTGTGGAACAGGAAGTATTGGGAGAAGCAAGTATTTCTGATAAAAGCTGAGCTACTTTAGAAATGGGTTAGGTTTTTAACTGTTTAGAAATACAGCTGAACTAATACCACTCATGATTCCTTCACTGCTTAGTAAGGTTTATCAATGATTATAGTTTCTTGAAGAGGCACTGCTAGTTCCATTAAGCTGGGGTAAGTCCAATTTTCAGATGTGAATTTTGATCTTCATATACCTCAGCTTACACTTGTGTAGATGCCAAATTTTTACTTGTTGCAGGATAACCAGAATACAGTTTTGATAGGGCTGAATGTTATCTAACATTTTTCCCCTTGTCTTACCCCCGGACACCCCCCTGCCTTTCACTTCTGAGTTCTGCTGCCATTTTTAGCAGCTTAATTTCAAGGGAAGGGAGGAGGCATGTAGAATGGCACCCAAATTGTCACCTGGCCCATCCTTGATGCCTGAATTCATGCTTTTAAGAGCCAAGTTTCTTAAGGATCCTGAGAAGAGTTCTAGGTCATTAGAATAGGAGACAGGAAAAAAAAAAAAAAAAAGAGTATATATTTATCTGTTTGATAGTTGGAAGTGATCTGTTACTTACAGGTGGACATCTTCTATGTACTCTGCTAAACCTCTCTCTTCATCCCCCAACCTACACATTCTAGGCCTTCAGCTTCAGGCATTTACAGCTCCTATCACTCTTCTAGTGTTCTATACATACCTGAGGATTTATTAGCACATGTACTCTTTGGGAGCCCCTGTAAGGCTCTATAGGTTTAGTTATGAATTTATTGTTGTAGGCATATTAGCAAAAGATTGGTCTGTCATTATGTAAGGATTATACACATTCAGTCTTGGGGAATACTCACAGCTCAACCAGATTCTCCTGGCTACAGAACCATTGAGGGATGTTAGCAGTGGCTGTTTCCTGTAACAGCCCCGACCCAGGATCCCTCCTGCCTGGCTGCTGGGATCTCGTGCAGGGTCCCTGCTCAGGCTGGGAGACATGGCTGCTGCTTTCCCATTTGCGGGTTTACCCAGTAGTGGAGCTGAGCACAAATAGTAGAGGCACACTGACATGGAAGGGAGAGGGAGGGTGCTGATGTGGTGTGGTCACAGTCACCCACAATGCCACCCACATGTAGTTACCCATGTAAGACACACAGCCAGCCAAGTCACTTACTCTTCTCTGGTAGAAGTATAAGTTCACTGTTAAAAAAGTACACGTGCCCCTGACTATTTGTCTCTTTTCATAAATTACTATGGTCCATGAGATCATCAGGAACAGCAGGACATCTCCAGTGCAAGAAGAAGTGAGCACAGATACATTAAATGGAACAGTTACACAATACAGCTGGTTTTGCATTGATGATATGCAATTCAGTTTGCCTAAGGAGGTGTGCTGATTGTAAATCAGTACGTTTAGTTGTGTGTTAAGCAAGCAAGGATTTGAAAACATCAGAGGATCAGATTCTAGCAGAATAAGTTGTTTTAAGATCATTTCATATTAAAATTGCTTATTGCTATTCCAGAGTGGAAAAAATTACTCTGTAATTTAGTGGTTAAAAATACGCATGATGGATATGTAGGATCTGTAAACTTTTGTTATCTAAATATATGTTTCTATAAAGCTACAATAAAAGAGTTGATGCTCAGTTCTTCCTCACACTTTTCTGGAAAGACAAGCTTTCAAAAATCAAGTATTTGATTATTTATTTTTTTTAATTGGTTTTCCGCTCACTCTGTGTGCAGTCTTAAAAATTGTATTGAGATATTTGTATCAAGAAGCAACTGAGGAAGAACGGGTACACTGGAAGACTTCATTGGAAGGGATTGCTTACAGATGTGTAAGAGCAAGTAATTTTCTCTCCTGTGAGAGAAAGGTCATTCCCTAAAGCTTAAAAAGTTTGTAGCTCATGACAGTGAGACTTAGGTGGTTGGCTCAACAAATGACAAAAACCAAATGCATACCTGTTAACCTGAAGATGTGGCTGATCTCGCTTTCAAATGCAGTATGTATCATTTTTGTTTCTATCAGCATTTTAGATACTAGGTGTTTTTTTTCTAAGTACACTGAAGTTCCTTTGTTGGTAAATGGTGTCTTGATTCTTAGTCTGTAGGTTAATGTGTTACAAAATGCTTTCTCTTTTGTGATGCATACTAGGATCAATCAAGATTTGTCTTGGCTCAACTAGTTAATAAGGTGCAATTTTGGAAAGCAAGTTTTGCACAAAGCAAAACTTCACCTGATGTTTCTTTTTCTTGTCTTTTCCTCCTGCGACATGTGAATGTTTAAGCATGTGATTCTCATTCCAGGTGATGTCTGCTACTGTGTTACATTTGACTTGATAACCTTTGCTTTTGTGTTTAGCATCAAGTTATAGAGCCCAAAAGAAATCAGGATGACCCTACTGACCCCTCAGACATCTGCACTGTAATAGTCTACTAATAACTAGAGAGCTGTATAAGAACTTTCTTTTATGTTTTCTGTAGAGCTCAAAAGAAATCAGAATGACCCTACTGACCCCTCAGACATCTGCACTGTAATAGTCTACTAATAACTAGAGAGCTGTATAAGTACTTTCTTTTATGTTTTCTGTAAGCGTAGCTTTTACATTAATACATTTCTCTGTATATCTGATATTTTTTTCTGATCTTCCCCTAGCGATGGACTTACAAAGAAGACTTACAACTGAAATTAGGAATAAAAGAGTTTGGAGTGGGTAACTGGGCTAAAATTTTGGTCCATGGTAACTTCAACAACCGAACTAGTGTCATGTTAAAAGACCGATGGAGAACACTGTGCAAGATCCAACAAGGCTAATTTGGACTAGAGGAGTCAACTCTTCCTAACCTTTCCCTACATAAGGACCTAGTCTGTCTTTTCAGAATACTTATTTTAGTCTCAGAGTGTCCAGCAGTGTTGCTGTCTTAAAATATGGAACAGAAAAGCAATAGATATTAAAAGTTCATGTAAGCTTGTTTGCTTGTGTAGTGATGACTTTAATGTGTGTAGGTAAAAGGACATGCTTTACAATAGATGACCTGATTTCTGAAATGGGAAAATGGCTTGCAGTGATTTAAGAAAGGTCAGTTATGTACATAAAAGTATTAAATGCCTGGCAACATGTTTGGATTGATAGATAACTGTTCTGTATTTTTAAAGTGTTGTATCTCTAGTCAGATTGAGCTTTTTAGTATTTTACTTCCTGCCATATAATTTGTTCTAATCTGATTTGCTTCACTTTGAAGTTTTGATCAGATTTGTCATTTCTCTCAGCAAGTTATAAAAAAAAAAAATTGTATGTATTGGAATTGTTCATTTTACAAACCAATTCCTTTTCTTGCACTTAAAAATGTGATACTCCATGTAATTTCTTATTTATAAATAGTACAGGTGAGGGTGGGGGGGTGGTTCATTTGGGGGGGGATTAAGAATGAAGCTTTAAGTTCTAGGTGGAAGATTACTTTGAACGTATGTATACTGGCTTAGTACCATCTCTTATCTCACAGGAGAGATGGAAAACATATGGAAAATAACAGTACTCTACTAGCACTTAACAGCTAACATCTCTTGATTATCTTGTGTCACCTACCTTAAGAAGTGGCTTCTTCTAGACCAGCAGGAAAGGGAAGGCTTGAAAACAAATGGCTGAAGTGGAGCTCAATAACAAGTCTATACTGACACTGGTAGCACACCTCATGTTTCATTTGTGCTCTCCGCTCTCTCTGTAGGTAGTTATAGCAAACTAGGATATGCTTTCATGGTGGTAACCAACTGTCAAGGTATCACTGTAAATAATGTTCCTGAAAGACTATAATGGATGATGGTACTAGGTTGTCTCTCTTGATTCAGATTGTGTGGAGAAGGTTCCACAACCTCAGAAAACCCATACTTCTCACTGTCATGCTGCTGTGAATCTTTGGACTTAAACTAACATATCACGGCATTCTTTCAAAAAGGAAGTCTCTTCAATTCAGAGGTTTTCTGTACCTTTATCCTTGGATAAGATTTTTTCTTTTACAAGAACCTGACAAGGAAAAGCATCTGTCCAAATTGGTCATGATAAAAAATCAAACTTCCAGATATTTTTCCTGGCTACAAGGAAGACATATATTCCTGCAGGCTGAAATGTTCAGGAAGTATTAAGAAATCTCTCTGCTTTCTGTTTTGGAGGCCTGCTTCCATTAAGATTATGTACTTGGTAAAGTACAGTTACAAAGGCTTGTTTCACACTCTTATTGTGGACAAGACCTCAGCCAGATCATCTTCCTCATTCTTTCCACCAGATGCTACAGTTTCTTCTTGCAGCTGGTAGAAATGGTGACAAGCAGTAGTCTATAGGTTGCACAGAACTGCTGAATGTCTTAACTGTGAATTTTCTCAACCTTAAGTCATAATTTTTATTTTTTATTGTTTTTTTTTAGCAAACATGAATGTCAGGATTTTTATTCAGCAGGGAATGCAGCTACTATGTTTAAAAACATTATCTCTTTAATTACAAAAGAGAAACATGGAAACATGCTTCTAGTGTTCTAATACAAAGATCAGTCTTAGTGTTTTGTATTAAGGAAGAGAGAGTTTCCCAAAACGCTGCTTCAAAAGTTCTGATTCATTTAATATTTGCCAAGGCTCCAGAAAATGCAGCAGAAAGATGTGGGTTTCTCGGCATTAATCTTTTTATTGTTGCTGTTTTAAAGGTCTTTTAGACTTTCATGTAAAAATAAAGCTATGCACAAGGGGACATGAGCAGTGCTCCACCTGACGAATCTTCTTCCAGGTTCCTTGGCACCGAGAGTTGCCAACTGCTTCCCAGTGTAAGGTTTTATCTCTGAAATGTGACAATAAGTGAGGATTAAAAAGCTGAAAACTATATTTGAAGTTACTAGGTTGTGTTGCATATTGTCAAAGATTAGATTTGCTTAATAATATTTAATTATCTCTTCTAGCGCTTAAAGTGCTTTCTGGAGCAGACACTGTATTCCTAATTTTAGTACATGGGATGGTGGATTGAGTAGCTGACTGTACAGGTACTAAGTATTGTGCATGTTAATAAATGTATAAAGCAAATAAAAATCTGATATGAATATCAAATGTCTACTTTCAAAATTACTGTTCTAGAAACAAAATGTACAGGTGTGAGAGGAGTCGTGATCCACCACTGTTAAACCTGAAACAAGATCGGGATTATGGCAGGGAAGACTGGGTTTAAGTAAAAGTGCCCATTGCTGTAAAAAGACTTCTTGCACTACAGAAGCTGCATCACCCTTTCACAACAGTAAATCATTCCAAAGCACTGAACTCTTGAAATTCTGACATTTTGAAGAAATCTCAAAATAATGAAATTCTTCCCCAATTTTATCTAGGTAACAATTTATGTGAGAACTGAAAGGGTAAATATTCTGAGCTCTACAAGGTTCAATTTTTAGGTGTAATAATATAAAATGCAACTTTTAATGACACCTTGAGAAGTCTTTGCTACAGAAAAGACAACAGAAAAAAAGACTTGTTACCCGTCTGCGTTATGGCCATCTCCAGAACAACGATGTGTGTCAGCATTCATAGCTGGAGACTGGCAAGCTACACACACAGTGTATCCTACTCGGAGGTACTGCATCCAGCGAGCGTATGGCCGATTCTCCAAAGCACAGTGCTGTGAAAGTGATTCTGTTTTGAATTCCACACAGTATCTGCTCAGAAGGAAAAGTACCAAATTACGACAGATAAAGCACAAGCTAGGTATATACTTTTAAATGTACTTACATAGCATATGTGTGGTATTTGAAGCCCAAGTTAGACATTGTCATTGCTAACAAATCTGTTTCTGACCCTCACCTAATTAGTGAATTCTTAGAAACACTGCAAAATTATTTCTCATTCCATGCCCCAGTCCAGTGCTTTCTGTATGATCTCACTTCCTGGTTGTGTTTTATATTCTCAAATTTTGAAAACAGATCTCAGTAACCCATATATTTTGTTTTATGCTGCTAAAAAAAAAAAAGTTGAAACTTGAAGGATACTGATGGCTTTATTGTTCTGGGAGAAGTAGCACAGAGCAAAGCATTGAGAGCATTACAGACCCAGTAACAGCCTAATTTTCTACTGGTAAACAAACAATTTCTTTTGTTCTGTGTCAATTTCAAAATGGTCTCTCATTACTGATTAGATTCTGCCCATTTCATTTGTTGAGAGAACTATACGGAATTTGTAAGACGTGGATACATTCAGTTTTGGTTTAGTGTTAATTACTGTTTGCTTTCAAAAGCAGCTATCCTGATTTGCCATGACCCCAGTGTCTAATCCAGGACAATTAAGCATGTAATCAACATCTAGAAAGTGCAAATGAACTGCAGGAGAGGAAACCAGTGAAAGCTATAGATTACGGTTTAATTACTGCACTTTCAGTTACATTTTTGTCTGTAGCCAGCTATTTTCTACTGAGCAAGATGACCCACATGAATATAATAAATAGATTACCCAGCTTCTTCTTTGTCTGAAGGCCAGAGTGAAGATGCTGCTCGTCGTTTTCTTTCTTTACCGTATTCAGAGGTAGTTATGAATGCAGGGACTGAGAAAGAAAACAGTTACAGTAAGGCAGCAAAGGCATCTGAGTCATGTTTCAATTACTGGAACAGTGGGTGAATGAATCAGGAGCTTGTGGATGGTGATGCTGACTGACTGTACTGAAGAGTGGCAAAATGTTGGCAACATGAGACCTCAACCCCATTCTCTCCAGCTAAGCTCTCTCCTTATTCAAAATAACTATCTAGAAACACATGCCATCTAGTTTCTGTAGAAACAGAATGTGATGGGATCCTGCAGGGAGATGTTTCCTGTTGTAACTTTGCACAGAGATCATTTGATACTTCCTGAGGGGCTTAAATAAGAAACTAAAGGAATGCATGCAGCTTTGCTGATTACTTAATAGAAATTAAGAAAAGCCTGAGTAGGAAAAAATATGTAAGAATATAATAAAGTGCAATATGACAGTAGAAAGTAAGATTTTAAATTGTACTGTTAAGCAGTTAGATGCAGATGGATGCTTTTTTTTCTGTTCATGAGGATGGTGAGGCACTGGCACAGGTTGCCCAGAGAAGGTGTGGCTGCCCCATCCCTGGCTGTGTTCAAAGGCAGGTTGGATGGGACATTGAGCAACCTGGTCTAGTGGAAGGTGTGCCCTGCTGATGGCAGGGGGTTGGAGCTAGATGATCTTTAAGGTCCATTCCAACTTAAACCATACTGTGATTCTATGATCAGTAAATTTATGAAGGCTCTGATGTACATATGAAATCAAAGAATACCATGCTCATGGCCGCAGTCCTCTCCCTGGTAAGTCAGGTATTCCAGGCAGCCAGCCTTCTCCTCTAGAGCAGGACAAGGTTCCCCACCATTTCTAGGTTCCTGTTGTACATAGCGCCTACGTATCCGCAGGTCAGGTTGACATTGTTCTGCACAGCCACTCCAGTGACTCCACTCCCCCACAACACAGGGAAGAGCTGTAAAGCAGTATTGAACCATTACTGGTAGTCAAGACTTCTGGTTTACCCTGATTGCTCTCAAAACAGCATATGGGTGCCTTTGCCACACACAGATACCTGACATTGCAGCACCAGGCACTGCCCTCAAATGCATCTAAGAACCCCAAGGCATGAGGTAGTCTCTCTGGCTATGAAGGCACTGCTCTAACATGTTGCAGCACAACCCTCAGACATATGTTTCAAGCATTCTGAACTAGAAAACCAGGAAATTAGTGACAGTAAAAATGTCTTGGACCCTGCCATGGGACACCCAGGACAAGTGCTAAATGTATGGGCCTCACAATCTTTGCTACCTGGCCACAGGACCAGAAAACATTTCTTGGCCCCAGTTGTTTTAATAGGACAAGGGTAGACATCAATGCCTGATCACACATCTTAGGTCTAGCCAGAGTACTAAAGGACAGTGTTATCTAACCAGGTTCCCTTATTCCAAGCTTCTCTTCCAAGCTGGCTGTATGAATGACCTGCAGAAGCAAGGATTTTCACCTAATTTTAAGCCCATATTTATGCTTTGATATG